AGTTCATTGTAGTCTATGAGGGCAGTTTGTGGAACCATATTCCTATAATAAGGTATTTTGGAAATTTCTCTCTATCGGCATAGCAAGTATCAAGCGAGGGGTTGCGACGCAGAGCATGCGTTTCCTCCGAAATGCGTGGCCCGCTCGCGACGCACCTTTGTCGCAAAGTCTAAACGGGACATACTTGTAAGAGGCACCAGCCAAATGAACAAACAGGGCTTTTCATAATTATGCAGCATATATTGATGCTGAAAATTAGTTCAGAAGTCAGATCAACTCAAGTCCTACCTGGTTCTTCAGTGTCCTCACCACCGCATTCATTGTTGATCACAAGACTGGTTGGACCAAAAATCGGTCCACTGAATCCTGCACGTCTGTTCTTTTCCGATTGTCGCCAATCACCTTCAATGAAAGAAACTCATAAATCTAAGAGGAAAATTCATCAAAAATAAAGTGAGGTAAGCTCGAATTTTTTTTTATCGCCGCAGTCGTCATATTGATGAGCATCGGAACATCCACTGATATGCAGCGGCCATGAAAGCATGAAGCGTTCCCCTCTTATAAATCTCTTTGGATGCGCCGTGCTGCCACTTCCATCCAAAATCAAAGCCGCTTTGATTACTTGGCCCATATAATGACTTGTAGCGGATATGCCACTCACTTGAGAGTACTACTTACTTTAGGGTTTTGATCCTCCGAGGGAAGCAAGGCTCCAGTTAGGTGATCTGTGAGGGAAAAAAATACCTAGAGGGCGTGGTTCGGACGGGCCCTCGGAAATTAAAAGAAAAAGTCTAAAATTAATTGGAACAAGATCAGAAAGTACCAACCTACCACAATGCTGTGCATCGAGGGTTTCGGTGGTTGCGGTGTCATATAGAACCACAGGCTGGCCAACATTGCCAATGGCGGATCCATCTTGGTGACAACCTCAACCCTATATTCTTACAGCGCTAACAAAGTACCCTCGAAAATTGGTTACCAGATTTGGATTGTTGATTAGATCGACTTTTATGCCTCTAGATAGTAGAAATTGTTGGAATAGACCATAGTTGTAGTTCCACGACAGCTGTAAATAATCAATATATCGATCATTATTGATGGACTCTCTAGCAACTTTCGCTATGCAAACAGAGACCTGCAAAGCTCCTCTGCCAAAGTAGCAACCACGATGGTAAGTCTGCCCAGCATGGGTTTCGGTGCCTTCATTGCAAGGACTCCAGTAATCCAATTCAGTACCTCTTTTGCAGTATCGACCTTCTTCTGTGCATCTGTCAACGGGAACATTTTAGTACTGTCTAGAAAAATATAGCTATCAAAAAATCATCCCACCTTTTCCCGTCAACCGTTTGAAAGCCAGGAAAAGCCGGCAAAGGAAATGAGCTGTTCGGACCGCGTTCAAACCAATTGTAAAAGCCGCCTCGATAGAAACAGTCGGCTTTTTCCACATCAGACAAACTTGTGCTGGAATTTAAAGGCACATTCTGATCGAACAGGTGCAGCTGATTTCGCGAACGAAAAATTGAAAGCGAATATGGGGTATCTTCGGTCGTTTGTTAGAAGAGACAGACTAGTGACCCCTAAAATCTAAATGCGCCCATCGCATGGTCGGTACCAGTCCGAGAACGGTGTCTTCCTCTTTGACTGGCCCCTCATAAGTCGGGCGCCATGAGATTTTGACGGACGTTGGAGCGTTTTTTTTTTTGGCCGCAACTCGGTGCACGTAGGTTTGCGCAAGGTAGACATTTTCCCGCTGATCAGAGTCTATATTTGGGAGGGTTCCTATGGACATGACAGAAAACGATGTCACACCTCGTCACGGGATGCTTGAGTTCGGTCTCCTAAAAGGCATCAGTGTGCTGCCCTCGTTAGCGCCCTCTCACCTAGTAAGTACTGCAGCCACTGTGAGCACACACACTCCAGCTTTTACCCCCGCGTCAAGTGGCTTACCCACACCTCGACTGCAGCGGTGGTTTTGGACAGAAGCGATTTTTTCGTCATTTCGAGTGGCGAACACTCTTCGTTTACGGGAGCTCGGGTCCGCTAATGCAAAGCGGCGGACCGAGGGTCCCGCAACGAAGAAATACTTTTCGCGCGTGCCAACACCTGAAAAGTTCTTTTTTTAGAAGGGAAATGTGGGTTCGGAGTTCTGGTGGGTCGCTAGCTCTCAGAATTGAACTATAGAAATACGACCATGCATGGCGAGGGTGGTTGGCAGAGGAGGGATGGCCGTCGAAAGTTTTTGATGGTAGGGGGTCGTAAGAATTAGGCGGAAATCTAGAAGAAGATAGCAGGAAATTCTCTCCACGACGTGGACTCCGGTTACTTGTCTGTAGGATTGATGTAGAATATTTGGTCACGGGTAAGCGCTCCGTCCGTGGTGTGGCCCCAAACATCACTCTCCGTCATGCCCTAAAATGAAAATCAGATTTTTTGCTCTTCCAGATGACTCTACAGAGCTGAGGGGTGCACCGTTCGATTTCCCCATGAAAAATGCTATCGAATGGTGTACAACACAGGGTTCCACACAAACTTTGTTTTTCTCACTTTTTTACTCCCCACCAGTCGCATCGCCCGGCTACGCCGAGCTCTGCTCCTCCTTGAAGTCGGAATGCCCAGCCGTTAGCCAGGGCGATGCACTGGTGAGCCATTTTCTTAAAGGAATCTTCCACGGACCATGGACCAGTGGGCGGGACCGGAAGTTTTTGACGAAATGCATGGTAGGTACGGATCCACGTGTCGAACGCACGAACGTGAACAGGATTCACTTCAAACCTTCCCATGAACGTGGATCCGTACCTACCATGCATTTCGTCGCAAAACCACTTCCGGTCCCGCCCACTGGTCCATGGTCCGTGGAAGATTCCTTTAAATTCCAACACTCATATAGCAAGTATTGATTGGGTGCCGTGGAAGTTCCTTCGGGTCACGTGCTATCGATCGATATCGATTGAAAATATCGGTTTTTGCGCAGAGAGCTCTGTTGGGGTCAGGAATCGCAGTATTGATTGGGTGCTGTAGTAAGAGTGGAAATACCTTCGAGTCACATGCTGATTTGATACGAACAAAAATTAGTAGCAGTATTGTAGAAGAAAGTTCAAGTGTTCATGTAACGAACAATCTTCGAATGCTATTATGTCTCTAATTTTATAGTGAACAGTCCGACACAGTAAGTATTGCCCTGTGTACAAGTGATCGCTTACTTGTATAGAGAGATGTCGTTTTCTCCCGTTTCCTGGAGTACGTGGGCAAAGAACGCAGCAACGTCACGTCTTTGGTGGTGTGCGGGCTCGTACACCTTAACGGCGTCATGTATGTATTACATAAGAATATGACGATTTAGATTTACTATAAAGGATAAAAGGATAAAGCATTTGCCGTTGATCAATCCCTTTTTGGGATGCGGCACGCATTCTACTTCCATTTGTACATTCGCAGTGGCGTTTGAATGCGATGTGGCCTATACAATGACTTGCGGGGGCCAGCCGATGTTCAAGTCAGTGTTTTTATCCTCCCAGACAAGTCTGGTACCAATTAACCGACCCCGGAGGGATGGAAGGCTTGGTTGGCCCGGGCGACTCACGACCCAGGATTTGATCCCCGGACCGCTCGCGTGGTGAGCGCGCCACTTGTCACTACACCACTTCCGCCCTAATATTGATTTATACAGTACTTGAGATAATTATATAGAAGTCAGGCCCGTGGGCGCTACTGCAAGACGGGAAGGGGAGCATTAAGTACGTAATCTGTGCCAACTATAACATTCCCAATTTTGTAAGAAAAACAGAACCAACCGCCAGCTGGCAGCTTCAGACGTGACGGGTGTGTGCGATTTCGGAGATCGCATTTTTAGAGTTCAATGTTTATGGAAATGTTCAAACAAGGGTCGTAGTTTGGGGACAGTAAAGAAGTGTGCCAGTTGTGGGAAATTTCATTCCGACGGAGTTTCAGATTGCGCGAGGTTTGGCCCAATTTTTAAAGAAGAGGCGTAAACCAGACAGAATAAGAACACTTCATATTTGCCTCCTTTCCCCGCTACCCTACGGCCCGCCGCGCTCCACCCCTAAACGGTCCCTCTGGAGGGAAAATGTGAGCAGGTTTGTAGTGAGTCCGGCTCTGATAGTGAGATATTATTATATATTATTAGAATGAGTTGGTGAGTGGTGGTGAGTTATTGTGGCGATGCGTACACTACTTGTGGATACTTGGAAGTCACGCTACGGTCCCTAGCGGGCCGAATGGGAATTGGGGAAACGACGACGTGCAAATCAGTGACAGTTTTGTCCCACAATACACAGGCAGCACCTGGTTGTGGGTTATCCCCCTATTCTATGGAAAGTACGGAATTTGATTGCTCAAAAAGTTTCGCATTTGGAGCATGTCAAAAATTCTTCCCTTTTGTTGCCGATCCCCCAATTTCGACATGACGGGATTCCTATGGCACACATCGACGCTGGGGATCAAGATCAGCTACCGTATCCTGCTCAAGTAAACATAAGATCAACAGTTACATTTTCCCTATTTTCCTCATCGAATTTCATATGCTTGAGTAGAGCTTTTAGCGATAAATCCAATTATGGCAATCGCTAATTGAATCGTTTGTTTTGTAGACAGCTAGACGTTAATTAATACTGATTTTCCCACTGTTTGCTCGACTTCAACATGTCGCAAACCGACGGTGCGCATCGACGATGATAGTGGCCTGCTATTGACAATGAAAGATCACAGGGAAAACTTTTATGAATGTTTTTCCATAGGTTACATATATCTGTAGAGAACTCTGCACCTGATTCCGAATATGATATTTGTTTTGGAAGTAAACAATGCTTGAAGAAATTGTTCTGCAGTGATTTCAGCAGCATTTTTCACCTCACATCAGATACTAGATTTACACATTGTTCCCGCAGTGGGGAATGTCGTAAATGCAGACTTTGCAACACATGTGACATCAAGTAGCATCAGCAGCACCAAAAAACACACGCGATGCAAATTTCCCGTGATCGTCGGCATGCGTTCTATAAAATTTGCAATTACGAGGCTCCTGCGGTGGAAAACAAAGCGTGACGCCGAGCCGATCACGCTTGCACCCGACGTTGAGAAAAAAGGGCGCACTACGCGACAATCACGCGAGCGTGCGCGACGGACCGCGCCCGATGTGGTGGTCGGTGCATGCAAGTGGCTTTAGGTAACAGTCTAATCTTGCAACTGCATGCACAACAAATACCGCCCACTCTACAAGCGCCTCCCCTAGGACAAGGAGAGCACTGAATGAAGTCATCATCCAATAGTTTTCGAATAAAATTAGGCGTCTGCTAGCGATCCATTTCAAGTTGTCCAGATCCGAATTGTGGAAGCCTTACCCTCTATTTCGGAGAACGAGAAGAACGTCGAGTGCAGACCACACACCACAAGTGATGACGGGCAAAAAAAACCGTTTTTTTCTTGGCCGTCGTCGCTTGTGGTGTGTGGTCTGCACTCGACGCTCGTCTCGTTTTCCGACATAGGGGCTATGCACCTTTATTTCTCACGCAAAATCTTCCAAACCATCAGTATACGTGAAATGTAATTTCTTTGGTTGACCTCGGAATCGACCTAGTGATTGTCAGAAACACAAAGCCACTTCTCTAACCACTGCGCTGTGCAGAAACATATACGCCGCGCCTTTGAACTACTATTCAAATCCCTACCTTGTTCGAACTTTCGCCGCCAAATTCCGGAAAATATCGAGCTGCTATGATGAACGATTTGTAGGAATACGGTAGACAGTCATGAGGTCCTAGTCCGAGATTTGCCTTTGGGAAAAGATCCTGAATCAATCATTGAGGTAGAATGTAGTCGTGAATAAACTTAAATAAGTGATGCTTATTCAAAGAGAAATATGTAGGCGTGAAGCGGTGGAATTACATTGAACATTTCTTCTTTGAACCATTTCTCTATCGGAGATTTTTTCAGGTTGTTCGGATCCGTGGCAACCTCACACTCATCGCTGACTTCCTTTGCGAAGACGGAGTGCGGAGGACAGAATTGCGGTGGTGAAGCTGAACAATGGTCTTATAGAAATAATAACTGAAAGAGACTACTACAAAAAATAGTTATTCAAATAAATAATCCTGAGGTGTGTCACAATGCTCAACCATGACGCAACAAACTCGACCGCAAGCTCCGCCCACAAGCTCCGCCCACAATTCCCGCAACTGCCCAAGAATGGGGTTCTCAGAAAAATCTACACACGGACATATAAAATATCGAATAATAAAATATCACGTTAAGTTTTACAAAAGTAAAATCTAATAATCTATAAAAAAGATAATCATGACTTAAAGTTACGGAAGTACTACGAAAAAGGCAAACCGTAGGATTTCGTTAGAAGGACTTGAAATAGCAGA